ATGTGCCTAAAAAGAACTTATTGAAATTGTAATATTCTTTTTTTCTTTCTTTGTATCGAAATCATTATTGAGAATAAAGAAAATTACACAGGAAACTATAATGAATAATCATTTGTAAACTGATATTAAGTTTAGGAAGCAACATAATACTGTTGCAACAAAGACTTTTCTATTAAAAATCTCTGATACCTATGCATCACCCTTGTGTGTATCAATAACAATAATCAGATGTTCTTTTACTGAAAGTTATTACAGACTTTTCATAAATATTGATTAGATCTGTAGTATCCTCTAATGATTATTATTCTGTCATTAAAAAAAAAGATAGAAGAATTGTTATCCATTTAATGTCTGGAGCAAGAATTTCTGCATGAAAAATAATAATAGATTTATTTTTCACAATAGAAGTGGTTGAAATGCTTGTGTTAGCATCAGGCTGGAAGAGACCGAAGATTGCTTAATTTGATCAAAGATAGACATAAGCAAAAAATAGAAATTAATTTGAATATTTTGAAAATTTCATTGAGTTGAAAAATAGCAAATCCAAACTCACACCCAAAAAACTCATTTAATGTCAAAGTTTTAATTATGTTGATAAATTTGTTATCTTGTAAACATCTTCTCAATAATGAAATATTAAATGGTTACAGACTACTTTGTGCCAATTTTGAAAAAACAAAGAACAATAGAAGAAACAACTCCAACAACAGGTGTTGTAAGTAATGTACCAATGATGATCGGTTGTTGATGCTGATAAGAATCAAATAATCATTGTAAAATGAAAAGGTTTTCCAATGATCACAATCAACTTACTAGTAGAGATTGTACTTGTTATTGTTGTGACAACACCTGTCGACCAATACTTAGTAATATTGAGTGTAGATGCAAAAAAAATCAATTTGAATCAAAAGTTTACCGGTATATGATGTCATCGAACTTGCTGGAGGAATTCTAGTAGTTATTGATACAGATGGTATTGTGATACTTGATGTTGACATTCCAGTTATATTAGAAAAAGCAACTGTATTGAAAACAGTACTGGTATTGTACTTGATTGAAGAAAAACTCGAATATATGCTGTAGTTGATCGGTGATTAACTGCTTCAGTACATTGCACACGCCATGTAGATGGATTAGAGAGAACAGTTCCTATAGGATATTATTGAAATGGAAAAAACCAATGGAATAATATCAAATAGAAACACATATGCTTTGTACATACCGCAATACCATTAACATAACTTGTACAGATAAATTTAGATGCACTGGTACCAACAAGATAAGTAATACATTCTGTATTACCTTGTTGACCCTAACTATCAATTAATCTATACCAAACAAGATTTGAACCTCTGAAATTTTACAATAATTTTTATTTGAAATTTACCCAAACAAGATGCTTTTGGTATCCATGTCATTGTCATTGTATATTCTAATGGATTACTTGATGATTGAGTGATTGCACCACAACTCATACCTATTAGTACGATATAAACAATGATCATTTATTAGTCATAATCTATACATACTAAATGAAGATGTAGTCAGAATATCATTAAATGTTACACCTGAATATCCAACAGTAAATGTGGTTAATTCAACTATAATTTGATTAATTTCAACATAAGCTACTTAATGTATAGACTTGAACAAGGAATCCTAATGGCGTACCTGATTAATTATTTTTTGATAAATTAAATAAAAACTTAAGACACACAATGAAGTTGTGTCTGAAGGAACTTCAAAATCTTCTATTATAAGAGTGACAGCCCAAAAGCCAGTACTTATTGTTGTGTATGACACTTAAAATTTGTACATTCGAATAAGTTGACTTGAGCACCAGAAAAAGTTTGACATATACCAGCACATCGATATCGTTTCACAGTAGTTTCATAGGAACCATAACTGATGTAGGTGAAGAAAACAAAATAATTAAGCATGACTTTTTTTTATAGAAATACAAATACAAGATATTACCTTATTTATGTAGTAGCAGCTCATCTACCTCCACCTGTTTGAAATGTAATCCAATTACCATCAGCAAATTGTAAAGCAATCTTAACATTCGAGAGTAGGTTTATAATTGTTGAGTCTTGTTCAGCACTCATATCTTGTGAAACACTGGAATCAGTACATGGTACTACTGTACTTATTGGACAAGATAATGATCCGCATTGTCTACCAATACAACAGACGTTGCCTAATCCGATAGTACTACCACTATTAAACGTATTCTGATCACAATGATATTAACCGTGACATCAAGCATGTCTTTAAGTGAATGAGATTTGTACAGGATTTTGATTAGAAATTTATGGACTAAGCTATTGTTGAAGAATAACAAAATCAAGATAGAGATAATGAAAATCGATAGTGAGATGCTTCAGTAATTTGAACTAACCATACAAAAAAAATAGATGTTTATCTAATTTCTGTTGCAAAAAATAAATGATTGAATAGAAGTTTCACTTCTTCTTAACATCAAAACATTCACTTGAGAGTTTCTACAGAAAAAGAAGAAACAGAAGGTTCCCTTCTATTTAATTAGTATCGATAGCAACTCACAATAAGAACAACACTTCAAATACATGAAACAACAATAAATCGAAATTGCAAAAAGTTTTCCATCAATAAAAAAAAATTTATAAATTTCTTTTCTGTTACGAAACATGTACAATACAAAATATACATCAAACAATTTCATAAATTTGATAAAATTGAATTCTAATTTTCTTTTTCGACTATATTATACAATAAGTACAAATGTATCAATTTAATGTCAACTGTTTGACTGAGAATCAGTTCTCATAAATGCTAACATTTTATTGTCACTATATTGATTGAAATTTTGATAAATCCTATTTTAATCGGAAAGAAAACTGTCGACTTATTCAAATATCAAAACAATACAAATTATTATTTAGTTAATGATAAACGATTCAACATGTTTATTTCATTTATATTCATAAGAAAAAACAAATGTTTTTTTTTTTACGAAGAACAAGATTGAAATAACAAGTAGAAGCTTAATAAACAAATTAACCTGAATCATGCATACGTTTCATACATTTTTTTTTCGAACGTATGGGTGTGGGTTGGTGAGAACGAAGAGAACACACTTACACCTACATTCTTATTATCTCATAGAGGACACGCAATAAAACTTTATCGAAACTTGCCTACGTCAAATATCATTATTCACAGATGGAATAGTACGATAATTGATCAGACCAGTAGTACCGATACTCATTATGATAAAAATTCAGACCGGTTCTATCTCTGATTTCAAACATAAGAACATATATTTCGATAATTCTACTTTCGATATTTTTTTTTACTTATAACATTGTCTATGTAGATATTATTTTATTATATAAATCTTCTTTTAAATATTGCCACTTTTTGACGAACTATTTTATCGTTTTGTGATTCCTTTTTTTTGGCTCAAAATTGAAAAAATATTTTGACGTAAATATATACATTAATACTTAGTATTCTTTTTTCTTTGTCACACATGGTTGATTATATACATAATTATACATAAACAGATTTATTTTTTGATCGTAAAATATGTCCGCTACAGCTAATATTCTTCATGAAGCAATTGTAATTGATGTTGATACATTAGAAACAGGTGCTGTTCATCTCATTTGTTTGATTAAACCAACATGGACATCGAAAAAAATAAACTTTAAAAAATTAGATACTAATGATGATAATAATATTTATTCAGTTTTTCCAAGTGATTATAAATATGAACAACATGGTATTATTATGAAAATTTATCCAAAAAATTCTGATGTATATAGTAATCATGAAAAAGAATTTCAATTAATTGAACAATTTTCTCATCATGGAGTAGCTCCACGTATTTTATTAACATTTATTAATGGATATATTTCGTCATATATTCTTGGAACAATATTAAATATTAAAGAAGATCAAACTCAGTAAGTTTCAATTTTTTATTTTTTCGTAAATATTGATTATTTTTTTAATATTTAATAGTCAATTAGTTTCTCAAAAATTAGCTGAATTTCATTTGATTTCATCAAAATTTAATAATGGTCTTCATTTTATCGATAAACTTAAACAATTTATTGATTTATTTACTAAAAAAAATATTAAGTTACATAATCGACATATGGAAATAAGAGACGAACAAGAAAAATCTGCTGAACAAAATTCAAGTTTTTTTACAACATTAAAATCGGCTGTTGGTCTAAATACAACTCCTACATTAATACTTACATTAGATGAACTTGAATTACAATTACATGATACAACATGGGCTCAAATTTCAACTGAAATTGATTTTATACAAACAATATTTGAAAATAATTGGTCAAAACATAATTTACCAAATGTTTTATGTCTTAATAATATGAATATTCATAATTTTTTATATGATTCAAAAAATAAAACAATATCAATTATTAATTTTGATCATTGTTCATATAATTATTTTCTTATTGATATTGTTTCATATTTTCTTGAATTAGCAAAAGATAATTATGAAAATAATTATCCACAACGTCATATTCAAAAATTATTTCTTGTAGAATATCTTAAATATTCATCATTCGATTTTTCAAATATTGTTTATGATCCTCATAAACCAATTGATAATGAATTAGAACGTTTATGTGATCTATGTGGTTTATTAATTGCACCAATTCATTTATATTGGACTTTATGGGCTTTTTTACAAGCATTACTTATAAAACCTACATCAACATTTGATTATATTAATTATGGGAAAATTCGATTAGCACAATATCAAAAACATAAACAAAATTTTTTCCTTCCATTAAATCAATCACGTAAAAACAGTGATGCCGATTCAGAAAAAATTCATCATTTCTAATATTTTCTCTACATTCATGATTTATAACCCGAGAAGCATAAACATTGGGTATAGGTAAATAACACACCTACAAATCATGATTCTTTTTTTTTTGTACATTTTTTATTTAAATATTACTATTCATGATTATATTTATCATTTTCTACTACTAAACGCGCAATAGTATGATCATTTATTGCTTAATTTTGTGTGTGATAACCTATTTTTTCTATCACCACTTCCCTTCAATAGATTTTTTCTTCTTTTTTTGGTACTACCACCTACATTTTTAGTTATTTAACTCGAATAATGAAAAGAAATTTGGATCAAACACGCAAGCATAGCTCATTGATTTGCATACGTTTTAATATTCATTGTATTTGATCAGATGAATGGCGTATAGGCAAACAAAAAAACAAGTTCTACGCAATATTCTTCTCGTAGTAGTTTTATTCGATGAAAAAAAGTAAGTGTTTATGCACAGAATGAATGTAGTGCAGCCGTAAAAAAAACCAAGACTAAAGAAAAATATATTATTTCAGTTTGTTTCATAGAAGTAAAATCACATGGATTTTTATCGTTAATATAATCGTATAGAAGAGATTCGTTCTCATGATAGATGATACAAAAAAAAAGAATCTTCTGTCATGACGAACAATCTACTCTATTTGATTTCCCGTTTCAAACACAAGTATACAATGAGGATTCTCTTTCAAGTCTTATAAGAATCTTGTTGTTAATCATGTTAAGAAAAAAACCCTAGTATGACAAAACTTTACTAATGCTGTATGAAGTTATAATCTTATGTTTGGATATCTTGATCTCAACAAATTAATAACACTTTCCTGAAATTTACTCTTTATAATTCTCATAGAAGAATATGACTACTTTTAAAATTGTTAATAGCTGACATTCTGTGATAAAATATCAAGAAAAAACAAAATAAAATATGATACGTAATAGTAGAGCTCGTCAAGTCTAAAAATCCGAGGGATTCTATACAATAGTAGAAACTTCCCTATATTATCATGAAATTAAAAAAAACAGATGATGCAATGAATCTTATGAAAATAAAAATGAAGAAGTTTTTATTGTTCACATAAGATTTATAAATCTCAAAGTTACTTTAATGGTATAGTCAAATAAAAGACTAAGTATCGAGGCACATGGATGAAGTATCTAAAAGTTTGAACGGGTACATTAAAGTATGAAAAAATCTAAAAAATCACAGAGGAGTATGGTGAAGTATTCGTTTTCGTTCTGAAATTAATCTTTGTGTACTGAATTATAATCATGAATCACTCATGTTTTTTTTTTCTCCATTTCTACTCCCTTTTTTTTCTTACTTGGAAAAGAACATTACAAATATAAGTATGAAAAGTATTTTTTCATCGTGCATGACAACAAGAGGTAAAACATGATTAACGTCAAAACTTTATGTTTATGACTCAATATTTACGTTCTTAACATGGGATGAATATCCGCAGATTCATGTACTGGTATAACTCCTACGATTATTATTCGTTCGAACGATATAAATATCTATGAGACTCGTGAAACATGTAGCATATTTTCTCCATTGAACAGGTTAAACAATAATGTTGCAATATAACATTCTTTGGCTTGATGCAAATTCGTCAGATCCAATGAGTAATTTTCGTAGTAAACTTGGTGATGCACAAACATTTACAGATGTCAAGAATTGTATTCAATATGTTCAATCTCATCCAAATGAATCATTTTATCTCATTGTTTCGGGTTCACTTGCTAAAGAAATCGTTCCAGTAATCTATGAATCTTCAAATCTTTTACAAATCTTTCTTTTTTGTGGATCAGTTTCTACTTATGTAGAATGGGCAATGGATTATTATGATAAAATCATGATATTTGATCATGGTGATGATCTTTTAGAACGATTATGGAATGATTTACAAAACAAGTTACGAGAACAAGCGACACTATGTTTACAAGGTGCAGAGGAATATAAAAAACGTGCAGAGGAATATAAACAACGAGCTTTACAATATAAAAAGCCATGTGGTTAAAAGAAATGTTTTGCAATAGTAGCTTTTTCTTTTTGTTTCATTCGAAGTTGCATGTTTTTTTTTAAAGAGAAATCTCAAACATTATTGAATAGTAATTGAAAATTTTTTCGTTTGATCAATTTCCAATAATTTTACTTTCTTGTTTTTTTTGTTATGTTAAAATAAAATCTTTTCAATGACTTCACAATTTTTGATATTCAATTCTACGCAAGTGAAAGTTCTAGAGAAAAATTTACGATTTGAACAAGAGATAATCTATCAGTTCCATAAAATAAACAATAGTTCAAATTATTAGGCATTTTCATACTCCTAACTACAATCTCGGTCGAGTCAGCTTTACAAATAATCAAACTAATGAAATGAATTACATGGTTTTACTCATTGATAATTCAATGCAAATTTAGTAAAAGCTTTTTTTCTTTTATTTATTAGCATTGAAACAGTAAATAAAATCAATATTTCTATTAAGTCATTGATTTTCCTATCAAAATTAAATAACTTCAAAGAGTTAAATGATAATATGCTTTAAATTTTTTTTTCTCTAAAACTACAATCAAAAGTTGTATTTAAATTGTGAAATAAGTAACTTATAGAAATAAAAGATATTTTAAAATAAAGTTTGTAGAGTAGACACTCAAAATATTATAAACCTTGATAACCATTTATTTACCTTTCTTCTTATCTTGAATTTCAATAACTACGAGGTAACGGTTAATTAATAGTATGAATAATCAATGAAGATAGCGTAAGAGAATAAAATCACTCTACAACATTTTTTTTAATCGTAATTAACGTATATTAAGAAGCATCACACTTACAGAACAAAATATGAATCACATTAAATAAAATTTATCAGCTAGCAAATAACCATATTTATTCAAATTGTTCCGATTTATATGAACATTTTATCGAACAAAACATTAAATATCATCTTTCTCATTCAACTAAATAAGTCAATTCTTTTATCGCTGATACAGAAATGTACATAGTTGACATTCATAAGGCAAACCTGAAAAGTCCTTCTTTAAAGTATGATTATTGACTTCAATAAACGAATTCTAATTGTTGACAGGCTAAAAACCTTATTTATATTTCTGATCAAAAATAAAAGACACCTCTAACGATCTGAAAAGAGTTTGGACGAGTAGCTTAACACTGTCGAGGCACTGTATTTTTTAGCAGAATGTCCTCGTTTCTCTCAGAAAAACTGGGTTTTAAATTTTGACCTGAAACTTTGCGTAGAGATATGCCTTAACGAGAATAGCCTATTGCCAAAGTTTCAGAATTTTTGATTACATCCATTCTGAAACAAGAACATCGGAATATGTTGTTGTATATGAGCAGCGTGAAAAACATGTTTGGACTATAGCTGTCTCTTAGGATTGACGCAATCAAAACATCTCAAACTTTTACAATAAACTATTCTCATTAAAGCCTGTCTCTATGCAGAGTGTATAAGCGAAAATTCCAAACTCAGTTTTTTCAGTGTTCCTGAAGAAGATCACGGCATTCATTTAAAACATACCATAAAACTGCAACATCTCCGTAGCAACAAGCTAACATCACGAGCGCTTTTCAGGATATTTATAACTCATTTGGATCTATACAATGCACATAGTTTCGATTCAAAAGTGATTTATCATTTGGAGAACTTTCCTCGTTAGTAATCTCATTTCTTCATGTTCATCGACCATTGAAGTTAAAAGTGGACAATATTTTCCTAGAAAAACGTTAATTGTTCATGCAACTGATAATTTGCTTATCGTATGTGTGTATATTTAGTTATTCATTGTAATTTTATTAGAATTTGAAGAGTGACATTTTTGTGAAGCAACTTACTAACAATAGCAAAAATGATAATTATCATGAAATACAATGATCTTCAATTTTGAAGCATTATCAGCATTTAATTGTTCGAAGAGAACAAAAGATATTTGAAATATAATACAATATTATTGAAAAACTAAACTCTTTGTCTTATTACTTTAAACACACTAAAAATATCTGTCATAAATAAAATAATAGAAAAGAAACGAGAACTTCTTTTGAATCATCTCAAATTTATGATATTATAAAATACATTGATCAATATAAACAGATTGACAACATTTGAATCTTCTTTTAGAAAAAATTCCATACTGAAATTCTATCTATTTTACACAAATAGTAAACCATATCTATCAGATCATTTTAACAAAGACGAAATTTTATAAAACAGATGTTCTCAGATTTATTTGGTTGATTCTGTTGACATTATGTTTTCATTCTCTGTAAAGAAAAAAAAAAGTAAAAGATTACATAGACAAATAATAAGTAATATTATATTTACTCGTAGCTTCAAACTTTTTTTTTTTCGTTCGTCTAACAGTTGATAAAACATGTGGTCTCTCAGTTTTTATTATTAACCAATTGTCGCTAACATGAAATTTGATACTCAAGTTGATTCGATCAACACATACAATGATAGTCATCAAAGTGTTCATAAACAATCGAAAAGGTTGATAAATTTAGATTTTATTTTTTATTATTTATAAAACAAAAATGTATTTTAAATCAAATATTTTTATTATTTGAATAATATCGAATCATATGAAAAATTTTTGTTTTCTTCTCTAGGAAATATGCTCAAATAATATGTTTTATATTGATTGTTGTTATGAATTTAAGTGCATGGATCGATTTACAAGGTGTATTTGTTGAATTACCAATAATGATTTCATTTATACCTGAAGGTTGGACAATACCATCAATAGTAGGTTTATGTCTTTGTGCTGCTAATATTATGCCTGCTATAGTTACATTTTTACGTTGGTATCAAGGGAAAAGATTTTCGGAAATTCCTTATATTTATATTATTATAATTATTGGTATTGTATCTTGTTGTGTGTTGGCTTTCACATGGCAAGAAACTACATATTTATTTGGTCGTGAACGAAGTTTATGGTTACTTGGATCTGTTTTTACTCTTTGCATGCTTGACAGTACATCATCTCTTGTCTTCTTTGATTATATGAAACGATTTCGTATTCGATATTTAACTGCAGTATTTTTAGGTGAAGGACTCACAGGTGTAATTCCTACATTATTGTTATTATTACAAGGTAGTGGAGGTGAAGCAATTTGTATACAAAGCAATAATGACACTACATTAGAACCTACATTTACTCAGCCACGTTTCAGTGTTACAGTTTATATGCTTCTTATTACAAGTATTATTGTTGCATCACTTATTGCATTTATTTTACTACGCTGGACAAATATAGTTGCATTAGCTGATGCTGCCGAACCGGTAATATATATTCGAAAAAGCCATTTTTTTATAAAGAAAGTTATTTCTCAATCAGTATTGGATCGATGTTGTTTTCATCATTGTAAAATCTGTTCTAGTTCCCACTTGAGAAAAAAAAAAATTAATTTTCATCAGAAAAATCGAAATTAAGATAGATGAATGGCAGAAGTGGTCGTAGAAAGGAAAAAAATATCACAAACACTTCTCATGTCAAAAGTGAAGAATGTTTTTGTGAGTTGAGATGTTCGATATTTTTCCTTTTGGTTCTTTTACAACACATCGATGGGAGAAGAGAAGCTGTTTTCTTTTTACTATGGATAATAGGTCGTCATTTTTAGAGAGCTTATTTGAGATATTGAACTTGTCATCCTTTTCCTACACAAAAAAGGAACAGTTTAGAAAAAGATTCTCTTAGGAGATGCTCTTTCAAACACTTCCATATTTCTAATAAAAGTCTACAGAGAATTTCGAGTTGCTAAAGGAATTATTTTTTTACTGCTTATCTGATGAATATCCATCAAAAGTGTCATAGCATAGACTTGAAAATCCTATCACTGCCTTTTCACTATAACTTCAATATATCCTGAAAATTTCATAAGATATGAATTATCATCACTCGAAATCGATTTTGAACAACTAAAGGCTTAAAATAGAAAGGAAATTAAAATTAATATTAATCGACATTTATAAAGTATATTATACAAGACTATGAATAGTGTAGCGGAAAAAAAAGAACTAATTTAATGAAAAAGTACAATCAAATTTGATTTGTTCTATTCAGACATTTTTTGTTCTTCTTAATTCTTGAATTACAATGAAACAAAGCTTTAAGTACTAATCTATATTGTAGACGAAACTTAATGGCAGTACACTTAAAACAGCTTTAGATGGTGGTGAAAATTCTCCTATGGTTCCTATAGTCGAATTATTTAAACCATCAAAACCTATGAAACACATACCTACTAGCACATTTATTTTTCTTCTAAGTCTTAATACTTACAATTCATTTGTATTATACGGTATTTTGCCTTCCTTAAGTACGTACAGTTTATTACCTTATGGACAAAAAGTATTTTACTATTTTTGTGTACTCAATCCTCTATCATATTCAATTTCACTATTAGTCAGTGTAAAATGGTCAACATTATCAGTTCGTATGACTATCATAGGAACAATAATTGGATCTATTATAGCTATTTTTATTATAATTATTGCTACACAAAGTCCATGTCCATGGTGGGCAGATACATTACATGGTGCTTTGATTATGTTAGCTGTTTGGTTTGTAATGACAATTATTATTGCTTATCTACGAATTACAACAGGTAATCTTATTAAAGGTGAATGGTTAGAAGAAAAAGGTATGTTTTACTTTGGTATAACTGTTCAATTAGGATTATTCATGGGTGCAGTTCCTATGTATTTATTGATCAATGTTTTTAATATGTTCATAGATCGAAAACCATGTCAAATTTATTGTGTAACATGAAAATTATGAACTTATTATTTTATAGAATAAATTGTGTTAGAATTCAATGTTGATGTTAATCAAATGAATAAATTATACAAGCAAATTTTTTTAAATACATATAAATTAAAAGTTCCTCCGAAAAATTTTATTCACATTTTCTCAATTTCTATAATAGTGTATTTGTTCTTTTTTTGTTTAGCTATATGAAGGAAAAAAACATTACATAAAGATATTAGAAAAAAAAACATCTTTTTCTACATACATTAGCAACACAATTCAGATTAATATTCTATGTTGAAGGCTTTTTAAAACATCTAACTGTCAATTATTAACTTTTTAAATCATAAACAAAAATATTTATGAAATAATTTCTTTCAAACGGAAGTTATTATCTTTAATAAAGTAGTTCGAAGGAAATCAATTTCTATTCGATGACTGATATGAATGAAAACATTTAAAGAGACGATATTCTAATATGGAAAACATATACATACTAGTTCTTATTAATATTCATTTAAATGTCTTTATCATACTTGTTTTTACAGTCGAATGTAATCTTCTTGTAGCAAATCGCACAGTCCAAAACAATTCGTAGGAAAGATGTTTAAAATTTAACTACTATCCATTTCAGAATACAAAACATCATAGAGACTTGAGATTTTGATCATTCAAGAGAGTTCTTGGTGAGGATTTTCGAAAACGATACTCTAAAGCTATTTTCCTTCTAATTTAGACTTTTAATAGGACGGATCGATAGACAAAATTCTTCTCTTTTGAACTACGTAAGATCGACATTTCTAGTCTCTTCCTTTCGCGAGTTATAAGACTTTCTTGAAGCCAATTAGCCTGTGATCTCTCGGAAAAATAGCCAGACAGGGATAATTCACAATGTTGAGTCGAATGGTGATATTTGTTTTCAGGTTTGAAATGATCTGATATTGTTATCTTAATATTTTCGAAATGTTGACTCCTTCCCCATGTCGTTAATTTCTCATCAAAACCAACGGTTCGAACGGTTTTCTCACTTTTTTTAATCAAATTTTATAAAATTTCGTCGCGAAATTATTATTTTCAATTTTGAAAAACTCGATTGCAAGTCAAAAAGGTTTATACTAATGCACCACAATAATTTATGTCAGATGGTACCATCTTTGGTACAAAGTCAAACTCGTAAACTAAGCGAATTTAGCTAATGCGGCTGGTACTGGCGACTTCAGCGTCACGTAGGTGAAGTTAGCACAAAATTCGTCTACAAACACGTTCTTAGACCCCTCAGATCATTTCGAACTTGAAAAGAAATGTAACCATTCGACTGAGTATCGTGAATTACTCCTACTTAGCTGCCTTTCCTCATGATCACAGGTCTATTTTCGGAAGCCGGGAGTTTTAACAAAAGTCTTATAACTCTCGAACAGAACAAGCTAGAGATGGCAGCCTTGCATCAATCGAAAGAAAAATAACTTCAGAATATTGTTTTTGAAAACCTCTATCAAGAACTCACCTGATTAGGTAATTTGCTGACCAATCAAATTTCGATGGTTCCGATTCGTTGCTCAATAGTGGAGCACATTATATTTTGAAATGAATAGTAGATAAATTCTGAATTATATAAAACAAAAAATTCAATAAAATAAATTGAATATTTTTTTTTTAATTTATTGATTTTCATCTTCATCTTCAACTAATTCAACTTCAATTTCCCATTTATAACCAAAATAATGTACACTTAAAATTTTTAATTTTGTTCCAACAGCTAAAAGTGCTTCTTTTTCTTCTGTACATGCACTCCATTTCCATATATTAGCTATATTTTTCTTAGCTAATTCACTTGAATTATCTGTTTTTAATATAATTATTGAATTACCTGAATAAATTAATAAACGATCAATTGTAAATGATAAAAATGAATTTGTATAATAAAATTCATTTTTTTTATCTATATAATATTGAATTTCTTTATCACTTAATGTTAAACCACGATAATAAATATGTTTTATATTTGATTGATTTAAATTTCGAATTAATGAACGAAGTTTATTAACATATAACCAATCAATATCATCAAAATTTGCACTAAGTAAATTTAAATTTGTTTTCATATAACATTCATTTGAATGACTATCTGTATAAGATTTAATAATATTTAACATATCATTATTTAATTCATGTTCATTGATTATTGTTGGATAAATTTGTTGAAAATAAGAATGATATGGATTTTTTGTCAAAAGTTTACAATCAAGTGAATTTGTTGAATGATCATAATGAAAATGTTCTGTTTCATAATTTTCAGTTGTTGAAGCTAAATTTTTTGGTAAATAACGACTTGTTCGAGCATTAAAAATACAA